TAAGAAATAAGATGTTTGTTTTCCCCCTCTGAGAGAGAGAGAGAGAGATTACTTAAGAATAGCCATCATGGGGCGCCAGGGTGGCTCAGTGGGTTAAAGCCTCTGCTTCGGCTCAGGTCATGATCCCAGAGTCCTGGGATCAAGCCCCACATTGGGCTCTCTGCTCAGCGGGGAGCCTGCTTCCTCCTCTCTCTCTCTGCCTACTTGTGATCTGTCAAATAAATAAATAAATAAAATCTTAAAAAAAAAAAAAAGAATAGCCATCATGACAGTTAGAACATGGACATCTTTTTACTTTGTGGATTTATTACCTGCCCGTTCTGTTTGAATCCCTCTTCACACCATTTACATAAGGCAAACTGCTATAACCAGTATGTGGAGATGACAGAGCGTGCCCTTTGACTTCTTTGCCTCTCCATTTCTTCATAAGCGAAGTGAGGGGCTTGAAATAGACAGCAGCAGTGTTTCTTTCTAGCTGTTCAGGCTCCAAAGAATCCAGAGAGAGCCACTTTCTTAAAAGCTGGCATAAATTTGGAGCTCTTAGGCTGGGTAATAAGGCTTAGAGAAAAAGTGAGGGTGGAAATCACCTTTGAAAGATGGTTTAAAGGGAATCTCTCCTGCCTTAAAGCACAGTAACATCAATCAGGATATTGGGAAATGAGACAGGATGGAGGGATAGAATAGTATCTTGTGATGTTTTGTGACAAGACATGAGCATAGTTTATGGCAGGAAACTGCAAACGAAATTTCCATTCTATACTAAATGCAGCCAGGGAATGCTCTTCTCAAAAATGACCTTGGAAAGGGCCCCCAACTGGCTGAAATGTTGGACCCTGGATCATCCGGCCAAACCACACTGTAGACCAGGGAGGCCTTGCTTCTGATGAGGTAGATGTCTCATATCTCTCTGGAAATAACTCACTGATTCTTTTAAGAAACAAGAGATACAAAGTTTAGAGACTCTATCACACCTCACAAAGAGCAAATAACTTGCCGCCTGGGTTACTTTGATCCCAGATTGTACATACAATACATATTTAGTGATTTGGGCTCTTCCGAGATCATGGCTCTGCTCTACAACTCTGTGACTCATCAACAATTGAGACTCCTTCAGTTTGTTTGAGCAGACCCACACCTCAAATCTCATAAATCAGATCTCAGAATTTGTTCAGGGATCTGGGGTTAATGATTGGGTTTCAATATGCTTTACATATCAGCTTCGGAAGTTGACATCTTCTTCACTACAGGGTTTTTTAAAAAATTATTTACAGTGGACAAGTAAAATTTCTTATCTCCCCAAATTTACTAATACATTTACAACAGGAAAGCTCCAGGGTTTCAATAAAACACTATGCAACGAAGCCAATAAAAAAGGAACTTGAATGCATATTTTTCCTACATACATAAGCATCTGTTCCAACTTCTGCCTCCTAAAACTTGCTTATTTTGTTTCAGCTTTAACCCTTAAAAATAGTAAAAGAATGATCTGGCTTGGAATGTTCATTACTTCAACAGCAGGAGTCAAGTTAATCTGCTTCACACCCCATGTCAGACTTACTTTGCTCCATGCTTAAGATATTTAAAAAAGGTCTCTTGGAGGGAGTACCATTGATCTAGAACTTGGGGTCCCTTGGGGGCATAGACCGGGCAGATCTTAGGTGGACAATGAGTTAGCCATATTTTTCTGAATCAAAAAGCAGCTCTACTCCAGACTGACCTTGGGAAAATAGTTTTTTTCATCCTGGGATGCAGATATACACGATAGAGGGCAGCTGCTCTTGTTATAAATATCTTGTAAGGTAGGCAAAATGCTGCACCGTAACTCCTGAAGCCAGAAAGCTGGGAAAGAGAGGGCTTATGTGACCTTTGGAGAATATGCTGTTCACCCCAAGGAGCCATGAGTAATTAAAACAGAGAGTTAGCACTTCTCACAGGAGGGATCGATTTACTCTGAATAGCCCAAAGCTTTTTATCACTTGTTATGGTCCTCCTGCTCTGGACAAGGGAGGGGTGGAGCACGGGAGACCCAGTGAGGGCAGGCTGAACAAGGAGCAGTAATCTGAGAAGGGGAAAGAAAAATGGGGCGAGGAATGAAGGGAGGGAAGAAAGAGGAGCAGGCTTCCGGAGGCCCCCTTGCACTTACTGGCAATCCTGGGCTCCAAGCCTCAGAGGGCAGGTGGCTATTTTTAGTCCGTTCCCATTATAGAAGCAGATCCCCACGTTGCCCCAAGGAAGGCTGCACAAACTGGAACTGACAGGCACCCTTCTTGTCATTTTCTTTCTCGCCAACCTGCACTGAGTCCACACTTCATTTTGCTTTTAAGGACACTCTGGTGTTCACCTTTTTCCCTTTTACACAAACTCCGGCTGTGCCCCAACCATTTTCCCCAGCCAGGCTGCTCTCCTTATGGCAGGCTCCACACCCACACCCCTTTTCTTTACTCTATTGTTTTCCCTCCTCTCCTCCTTTGCATATATCCCAAACCTCTCCATCCTGTTAGGTCAAGATATAATTTATTTAATAATAATGACTTCCGTTGCAAAAAACTTTCTACCAAACATTTAAACGTGGACCATCGCACCTGAATCATTCTGTCCCAGGAGAGTTCCTTGATTGTTTTGGCCCATGTCCATCACTCCCATGTTCTGTCTCCCATAACATTTGTTCACCGACCCAGGTCCACAGAATCAGCCTCTGGGGATGGATGGCTGTAGCACTCTATATTTTCAACAACCTCCCCTAGAGAAACTGGAATTGGAGTGACCTAAGAAGGCAGAATTTTGACTATGGACACTTACTTTATATTTTTCCATGACCTTCATACATTTTTTACCATGATCATGTATAACTCTTATAAGAACAATTAGTGGGGGTTGGGGGGCATATATATCTTTTAAGGTCACGGATGATTTTGATACCATGGGAGCCATAAGTCCATATTGGTCATTTGAACAAGGATTCAGACACAAGACTTCTTTCATTTCTTAAGCCTCCCACAAGGTTGAAAGGTACTAAAGAGCAAGAAGTGGCCCTGTGCCAGAAAGGACAGGCTCGAAGCAGGTGCTTCATTAATACCTGAATGAGTTTAAATAGACCCAATAAAATAGGAAAATATTGAATAAGGACACATGGGATGTGGTACATTTCAATAAAAAAAGAAAACTTTAATTAGTGGGTTAAAGAAATATGTATTAGTAAAGCAGAAAAAAAATATTCAAGTGACATCACAGACCACGGGATGACGTGTAGCTCAACATCAGTATTTTGCTTTAGATCTAGAAGAAAAGGATCTTCAGAGGCATCAGTAAACTAGCAGCATGTAGATACCACAAGGTGGTTCTCTCCTTTTAATCTGGCTCATCCTTGAAGTGGTGTGTTCCATTATGAAGTCTATAGCTAAAGAAGAAATTTGGGTCATTGGAGAGAGTTAAGAAAAGAACCAAAAGCCCCATACATTGCTAGTGGGAATGTAAAATGATGCAACAACCACTTTGGGAAACAGTCTCTTGCTTCTTCAAAAAGTTAAACGTAGAGTTAAGATATAACCCAGCAAATCCACTTCTAGGAATACACGCAAGAGAACTGAAAATATACAAAGACTTGGAAACAAATGTTCACAGCAATACTCATACTAGCCACTGTATAATGGTGACAGCCAAAAAGCCAACAAAACATGGTACAACCAAATGATGGAATAGTATCTGGCCATGCAAAGGAATGCTACTACATGGATGAAGCAACCTTGAAAACATGCCACTTCAAAGAGCCAGACACAAAAGACCACATATTCTGTAATTCCATTTAAATAAAATTTCCAGACTTGGCAAACCCATAGAGACAGAAAGTAGATTCAAGGTTGCCAGGGGCTGGAAAAAAGGGGTTGGGAAATCGCTACTAATGGGTATAGAATTGTAGAATTAGGCAGTGGTGATGGTCATACAATTCTGGAAAAGTACTAAAAGCTGCTGAATTGTACACTTTCAAAGTGTGAATTTTGTGGTATGTGAATTATGTTTCAATAAAGCTTTTATTATTATTTTTTTTAATAAAAAGGTCAAGAGGGATGCCTAGCCCACTCAGTTGGAAGAGTGTATGACTCTTGATCTTGGGGTTGTGAGTTCAAGTCCTACATTGGGTGTAGAAGTTATTTTTTAAAATTAATTAATTTTGGGGCGCCTGGGTGGCTCAGTGGGTTAAGCCGCTGCCTTCGGCTCAGGTCATGATCTCAGGGTCCTGGGATCGAGCCCCGCGTCGGGCTCTCTGCTCAGCGGGGAGCCTGCTTCCTCCTCTCTCTCTGCCTGCCTCTCTGCCTGCTTGTGATCTCTCTCTGTCAAATAAATAAATAAAATCTTTAAAAAAAAATAAAAATAAAATAAAATTAATTAATTTTTAAAAATTTAAAAACGAAGTCAAGGGGAACATGGGGAGATGGGAAAATCCGAACAGGAGGCCCTCCGAAGAATGTTTAAAAAAAAAAAAAAAAGACAAGGAAGCAATTTTACTAAGGGCTGCTTTTTCAGGCATAGTTGACTTTTTGAACTTTTGTAATTAATTAAAAAAATAGGATGGCTAGCTGAGGAGAAAATTAGAAGACAGAGATTATAAATATGGCCTCAGGGGCTTAGTTTAGACACAAGGTTTTCCTACCAAGAGAAGTTGGAATAAGAGGTGTTCACAGCTCTCTTTCAGTGGTCTTAAATAGTGCTTAGAATAGGTTGTACATGTACAGGACAATGTGTGGGAGCCCTTTCTGAAATGGGAGAGGGATGAACTCGATGACCTTGCAGCTTTTTCTGTCTCTCGAACGTGGCTCGTCCCCCGCGCTCAGCATCACACGCGGCCACCAAGGCACTCGTCTCAGTGAAACAGGAGAGAAGACACTACCGTTTCTTGAGAAGTTTTATTTGGCTTCTCTATTCTGTCACAAACATACATTCCTCTTAAGACTGTGACAGTCTTCTCTTCTAAACAATGAACTTTTTATTAAAAACACACATACACACACACACACACAAAAAAAAAAAACAACAACTCATAGCTGCACTCACAACCCATTATTTTAATCACTTGCGTCAAGAAAGTCAATTCAGGTTATGTATAGCTACCTCTACACTACTAATTAATATGAATACCTAGAATGTACTTGGCCTGGTGTAGGGTTTGCAAATCTCCGTAAGCCTCTGAATTCAGTTGTACTTGAGAAATAAAATGGGATCAACATCACTCATCTTTTCCAGGGATGGAATCATCTGTGCTAAGCGCCCCCCACCTCCTGGCTTCCCAAGGCTCCCCCAGGTTCACTCAACCCAGTCTCTCTGCCCAGAACCCAGATTCCCATGTAAATAAGCCAACTGAGAGACACAGTCAGAACAAGAGAGCCTCTTCATGGCGCTGTGACCAGATTTGCTTCAGATCCTTTCCATTCTTCAGTCTCTGGTTGGGTGGGAGAGGGCTTCATTTTATGGCAAAGTTTGTGTCAGTGCTGATGCTCTTGCTTTCACCATCGCACGCGTTCAGCAGTACTCATTCACTGAGTCAACATGGAAATCCAAGGCTTCCTATTTTAGGAGAGTGTTATAAACCTTCATCTCCAATATCCTTCAAATGCTTTTAACTGAACAGCATGTTTAATAAATGAGGGAGGTCTAGGACAAGGTGCTGTTAAAACTTAGTTTGTTGAGAACATTGACTAAAGAGAATTCCTTACCAAGACATGCCACACTTCCCCCTTTCAGGAGGGGAATCCTGCCTCCCCTCTGCTAAGCAAGGGCATGGTCAAACTGCCCCTTCTCCAGCCCTTCAAGTCCATCAGCCCAGGTTGAGGTCGGCATGCTCCGATATGGGTCCAGAAGGATCCGGAAGCACCTGACAATGAGGATGCCCAAGAAAATGAACAACAAAATCACAAACACAAAAGTGGTTTTTTGCTCCAGAGACATGCTAGAATCTGCTGATGCGTTCTCAAGGGGCACTAGGGGTGAAGGGACAGGCTGTCCTCCATCCATCGTCCAGAGAAGCAGAAGAATAGGCTCTCCCAGTTTCCTTTTCTCCCATCATCAGTCTGCTGAGAGCATGGTGGCTGCCCCGTGGAGATGCTGAGTTATCTGCAGGAAGAATGAAAGGCAAGGAGAATCATAGAAAATGATTTCTATGCTCACAGTCCTGTTTGTCAGAGAAAACAAGGAATCTCTAAACTTTTTCACCAGACATGCTACATTCTGTGTAATTATGAGAGAGAATATTTTACTCTTGCATGAAATTACCAAACTGTCCTCAGAGCAGGCACCTGGGGCCAGGAGGGCTGGGCGGGAAAGACAACCAAAGTACAGAAGATGAGAAATGCGCAAGGTAATGTTGACCTCGGGGTGTGCTGCCAGCTTGACATCCAAACCGAGTGTCCCCTGCCAAGCCTCTTCCAGATTCCCTCCAATAATATGACTTTCACATCATTCTCATAATGATACCATTGATGGAACATCAGCTATGTGCCAAGACTATAGCTAAACACAACATAGGTTAGCCACTCTACTACAAGCTCCGTGAAAGCGGAGACCTCTAAAACCGCGGTGTGAGGAAACTGAGGCTGGAAAAGGTACTTAATAGAGAAACTCTCAGGGGTTCTGAGCCCCAGCCTCTGGCCTCCATTTTACCACTCAATGAGTATGGGCCCTTGAAGGGATCACTAAGCCAAAAAATGGAATCAGAAATGCCTATGTATCTCACGGTGCCATAATGAGGATGGATGTCTGCAAAAACACTTAGAAAAGTATACAAAGAAGAAAAATAAAACTACAAGTTGCTTCTCTTCAGACATGGCTGTGGAAGCCAGGATGCTCCTCCTTTGCTTTCTCTTGCCTAGACCAAGGGAAAAAGAAGGCATCTCAGGTTCCCAGACCATCAAGCTCCTGCTGCTTTTCTTTTTTCTTCAGAAAACAAAGACCAGGTTCAATACTTGACCCAGAGAAGCACCTCAAGAACTGAACTAAGGAGAAGGAATTGATTGGCTGCATTTTTTCAAAAAAGCCTTACAGTGGCCTCCTACTGCTTGAGACCATTTGATAAAGAGGAAGAGAAGGAAAAAGATAAGTTATCACTATTTCCATTTTACTGGTGGAAAAATTAAGATATGTGGATATTACTGTTTGTCTTTAAGGGCAAGTTGGAGTATACACAAAGGCCATAAAAACACAAGATGTTGAACTAATTTATGTGTGAGTCTGTTTATAAGAAAAAAATGCATAGGAGAGTACTCAGCTATGGGAATTAACATGGATTCAAAAGAAATTACATTCAGTGAAAATAAGCAACCAAATAAAAATAGAAATTATGACCTAAAGCTCAAACACAATATTTCTACAGGTAACTTCCAATTGTTGCCTTGAAGTATAGCATTAGTGATCATAATAACAGCTTGCACGTATGTTGACACTTAAAAGTTTATAAAATCACAGTTTAGGACACCGTTTATAAAGGGATTTACAACCAGTGTCTAGAAGGAAAGAGTTACCAATTTGGGGGGGGGGGAGAATATTTTGCAGCTCTGTGACTAAATTTTGTTTAAGGCTGGAATAGTTGCAGTAGATTTGTTTATCATTTATTTTTATTTTGAAGCAAGATCGGGATAAAATTTGATGGTGTTTCTTAAAAATAAGCTCCTTGGGGATATGGAGGATGTTGACGGATTGGATTTGGTTTGGTTTGCTTGCTTTTAAACACCCTCCCATCCTTGTTTTTGTTTTTTTTTTTTTTTAATATATATATAAAGATTTTATTTATTTATTTGACAGACAGAGATCACAAGTAGGCAGAGAGGCAGGCAGAGACGGGGGGGGGGGCGGGGGGTTGGGGGAAGCAGGCTTCCCGCTGAGCAGAGAGCCCGATGTGGGGCAGGACCCTGGGATCATGACCTGAGTCCAAGGCAGAGGCTTTAACCCACTGAGCCACCCAGGCGCCCCCCAACCTTGGTTGTTAACTCTTGGCAGATAACTGGGTTGAAGGGAGGGGGCAGGAAAGGGTGGCCAGCAGCAGTCCTTAGTACTTCCTTAGTACTAGTCCCTAGTACCTCCAACAAGGGCCGTTTGCACACCCAAGAGATACCCAAACTAGACTTGTTCATACCGAGTATAAAATTCACCAAGGGCTGGGTCAAAAGAAAGTTGTGTGCTGCTCAAGGAATAAATGCCTAAGCTGTCCTGTCATGTTCCCTTTTGTCCTTCCATGTCCTACTGAGCATCCCATCACTTTGACCCTGCCCTCCCCACAGACTTACTAGGAGTCCCACTCTATGTCCATTTCCCCTCCAGCCCAAATGAGGCCAGAGTCCCTTTCTGTGTCTGTATCTGCTCTTGACACGACTGAGATAGCTATGCATTTTTTAGGATGTTCTCTACGAAAACATTATATAATCCAGAAAGGAAATAGAGGAAAACGGAAGCCCATTAACTATGTAAGCATACGACATAAAGATTTCTGGATCTGTGAAGTTCATTGAAAACAGTGAGCAACCAGACATAGGACAATTTGAGCCTGCGATGACTCCCTAGCCATAAGCTGGGGGACCCAAGAGAGTGATATCTTCCTTATTCAATCCTTCCCTTCTCACCCCCAGTGCCCACTCGACAAGAGCCATCTTGATGCCCAGGAGCAGTCTTTCCCATCCTTGTCGTTCGTACAAGGCAAAATACCAATTCCTCTTCTCCTAACTCATCATCTCATACTGCCTAGACTTCCTCCATCACTCGCGTTTTCGAGCTGGTCCACCATTAATGTGGGGGCTGCAGGCATGGGTGACCCTTCCAAGAAGCCCTAGAAGTAACCCAGTCATCCTGATTCAGGTTATGAACCCCATTTCCCTCTTCCGTTTCCCTGTAGATGAGCCTGGAGCCTGGCTTCTTCCCAGGGAAGCCAATCCTTAGAAAGACTTAAAAATCAGTTTTAATTTGCACAGATGCCACCCTGTGCTGATTAAAAGGCAGATGCAAGAATATGGTTAACCCTCTCTGCAGCCTCCTCACAGGTTTTTAGAAGCCCGCTGAAACAGAAACACATATCCTCCAACCCCTTCCTGATACGCCCAACTGATGGGAAAACGGAAAGGAAAGCATTTTGGAAAATGCCACAGCTCCTTATAAATCATCAGCCTCTCCCTTCCCAGCATACTGTGATAACCCAGTACCTGTTAAAATAACTTCATTTGGCCAACTCTTCAAAGCCTTTTATTAAATTGCAGTCTTTTACCAAGGAGAGTGGCACATTAACACTTAGCAAGGATTTGTCTGGGAAAACTGCTCTTACTTGAAGGAGGGGAAATGTGGTAGATAGTAAGGGGGCTCATGGGTCTTGCTGGAAATGAGGGGCCACTGGGGTTTGGGGGGAGGAGACATGGGGTGCTGAGGGCCAATGGCCCAGGAGGAGAGAATTCCTGGGGAGGGTGGGGAATGGGAGATACAGTTGAGAAGATCTGGAGATGGTTATAAAGGGATATGGGGATACAGAGACCAAGGAAGAAAAGCCAGGTCTCTCACAGTTTTGCCTGGGATGGATGGAAACCCCTAGAAGAGCCTGCTTGATTTTAAACCCGCCATCAGCTAATCAATAATTTACAAATCTGGAAAGCTCCACAGCACATTTAAGTTAAAGGCAGCATCAGATAGAGGAAGAGGCAGAAAAAGAAAAATAAATGTGATCACTGGACTACCACAGTCCCAAAATATTCAAAGACAGCAAAATTTTTAAAATGTCTGCCTTGGAGTGAAATGTCCCCTTTCTGCAAAAATGATCTTTGTGAAACAGTCACGACGGCTTCTACCTGAATAACGAAATCTTCCTTTTAGGCAAATAGAGAAATCTGAGCAAGTAAATTATTTCAAAGGATTTCCGACACAATCGTCCTAAGTGGTAATAGTAACAAAAGGCGGTTGTGTTAAGTACGAGAGGACCACAGTTTCTCATGGCCCTATTTCAATCCTAATAGTCTTCCCCATCATGTGGCACATGCCTGTCTTCCTGGACCTCCATTTGTGTGGGCTCAGGGCATAATAAAGGCTCATTTTAATACTGGACCGAGGAAAACTGAATTAAAAGATGCCATTCTCAAAAATCTTATAACGCATCCCCAGAGTCAAGCTCCCTGGACTCCGATCGCACAAAGTGTAGAACCTACAAAGCCCAGGGCGAGCAGTTCCTCTCAGCCCTAGTCCCTCTCACTGTCAGCCACGGGCCCCACTTAGAATGATGTACACAGAGGCCTCGCTTTCTTTCCTCATGCTTCCAACATACCACGCCAAGACCCAGCCTTCTCAGCTCAGATCTTACCACTGCTTCCCTCCAGAAAACCTCGGCGCCCCAACCACCAAGGACCCTCACCGGCCACTGAATCCCTCCCGGACCTGAGAGCCCTGTTTCCTGGATGACCAATGAGGTCATATTCCAACAATGGAATTTTTGTAAGATAGGAATTTCTTTTCCTCCTAAGTTCGAACAGGAACACACATCAAATTGCATTTGGCTTGGAGGGCAAGGACCAAGAAGAACAGACTTACGTGGGATGGAGTCTGCAGACACCTGAGGAGGCCGTCCTCACTGGGTCTGCGCAGCAGCTCTGCCTACCACGAGCTGTTCCTCAAACCCCTCCAGGTTTCCCACCTCTGAGCTTTTAGTCATAGTGCTCTCTGCCTGATGCCCTCCTCCTCGCTCTACTCCCGCCTGTGGGTTTCACTCCCTCCCTCAGGGTTCGCACCAAGTGCCACCTCCTCAGTGGGGCCTCCGTCTCTCCCTGCACCAGAGGGATGGGGTACTTCCTGCTCTGTTCCTCCCCACCCCCCGGGAGCCCTGCACCTGCCTTCTGCCGCAGCACCTCTCACAGGACCCGCGTCCACCGGGTGTTCAGCTCAGTCCCCTTACTAAATAGCAAGCTCCTTGAGAAATTCCTGGCCGTTCTGGGGTCACTGCCTTTTTTTTTTTTTTTTTTTTAATAGAGGTTGAGTCAAATCTCTGGCGCCTTACAATCCGAGGAACTGAATTTTCAAACTTTGAGGGGCCAGCTGATAGAAAGAAGGGGTAAAAAAGCCCATGTCATCCAGCCAGCCTGGGATGTCAGACCATTGTGTTTGAAATAGATCTTATTTCAAAGAATTGTAGCTAGTCTGAGTCACAGTGACACGTTAATAGTCTCCGATTTCATGATTTGAAAAGCAGTTATTTGGCTTTTTACATTTTGCTGGGCTTCCAGGCTGATGGGTCGAGTCCCATCGAATACAAAAATTAGTGGTGGCCCTGCTGTTCCAGGGCTCAAGCCTTTCTGAGCTCAGGGGCTCTGCTCCTGGGGAAGAGCAACCATTCCAAATATCCTGAAGCCAGACGCCTTACCTGGAAACCACACATGTCAACATACACCCTCCCCAAGCTTGGATCCTTTGGACATTTCATTTTGTTAGCATCACATTATACAATTTAACAGTAAGGGAAATTATTTTATCTGAAGAAAATAGACCTTAAAGCAGTGACACATTCCTTTTCTTATTTTTAAAGCGACAGCAACAGAATGAGTTTGGTGCCTTTGGCACATGGCTCTGTGGAGCTGCCCACAGGCATTTGGTCTGCCCCCACCCCCCACTTTTGTGGCCAGTAGCTCACAGACACCCTCCCCCAACTCTTCCACAACGGGTTGCAGTGGTCATAGTTAAAACAGATGCAGTGTCTGTGAAGTCCTGCCTAGCACATCGTGAGCGTTCAATAAATCCGTGCTGATGAATGAGCGTTTCCTCTGTATACCATTTGTGTGCAAAACAAGTTTCTTTCTAATTTCTCCTATGCAAATAGGCAAACTGGGGAATGGAGATTATAAGTAAACCGCCCCCAATCATAAAAATCAGTTACCAGAAGAGAAGTATTCCCCGAAGGCTGCTGACTCGCAAATTTCTCTCCAGCATGTAGGAAGGAGTAGCAAGCCAGTCATCCCTCAGCAGCTCATGGTGTGCTGGGTGCCGTGAAGCCATCCTGCCTGTATTTTAAGCACCTCTAAACCACTTAAGTGCCACACCCCGTTTTTAAAACTTCTAGGCCAGAAAACTCATTATGTGACTTGACATGCTTTCCAAAAGTAGATGCAAAAACAGTGGGTCTGTTGAGCAAGAACACTCACAGGTTTGTAGAGTTTACATTAGCTTGTGACGGACAGGACACTCCATCCCACAAAGCCATCCTGTGTATCTTATTTATATTTATCTGGCCGACTCGTGAGGCCACTCTGCAGACCGTACCAGGAAGGGAATTGGCTAGGTGGGCAAGACTGAATTTGCAATGACTAACAGAAACCAAGTTCCTCCAAGTGCCACATTGTTCTGCAACAGTTCTGAAACTGACTGTTGAAATGTTAACATGCCTTTCAATGATTAACGTAATATATATGATGAGAGTGAGACTAAGTAGAATCATCTCTGCTTTTTGAGCTAAACGAAGCCTTGGCTGCATTGCTGTTTGCAAAACTGGAGGCTCCAGAGATAAACTCCACCCTTCCTCCCAACCCTCCCACCCCAGACGTGTAAACATCCCAGTTGACCCTATTATATATCTTCCCCTATAACTGTGAGCCTTCCATAAAACCTACTTTATCATCTAAGGAATCAGATCACTACATAAACAAAAGTTATTACCCATGAATCTTGTAGAACTACTGTGTATGAGCCCAGGGAACAGTAATTTGCATTCCAGGATATATGCACAAGGATGCAAAATATTTCCTATAAATTCGAAGAACTCATGGCCCTCTTGGTGACCATCCCAGAAATTCAGGTGAAGAGTTCCTGGCTCTTTTTAGGTACTTCATATATTTTAACCAACATATACCTCCTTTTTTTTTTTTCTCTCACATAAATACATAGCAGCTTCCATATTTTTCTTTTCTGAATACAGCCCTCTTGATCCAATGCAAAAGCCCTAATGCTTCAGAATTCACAGGATGGCTAAGGGCAGATAGTACTTTGTACTCCCAACAAAAAGACCCACGGCTACTAGAAAGCGCTAAAACAATGGCTTGACACACACGTGAGTGTGGTCAGCTACAAACATCAACAGGCAGGTTCGGAACAGTCACCAGCCCCCACTGCTGCACTGGGAAGTCTGTTCCCTCAGACTGTCACTGCCAAGTCAGCCTGCTTGGGTTGGGGAGTGGACCCTGTTGGTCCTGGCTTGCTAGCTCTGGGTCAGCAGGAGACCTTTCTCTTCAGTCTGAGCCCTACCCTTCTCTTTACTTCTTCCCTGTCTTCATCTTCCTCCCAACACTTGCTAGAAGAGTTTTAAAGGGACTGCAGGGGAAGTCTGCAGCCTTGCTCAGAATATCAGGAAAACCCCACGTGAGCGCCCAGTCGGGAACTGGGGGTCCCAAAAGGCACCATTAGCAAACTGGAACTTTTCAAACAATAAAGCTTACTAGTATCCCCAGTTTGCCTTCTCTGTCCTTGCATATTTCCTAGTGAAAAACAGTGCTTGCTGATACCTCAAAAGGCTGGGGCTGCACCGTGCTGACCACCCAGGGACACCAGGGACAGTCAGCGTTATCATTAGGAGTAGTTAAGTTGTGATCCTTTGTGAACAAATTAAAACATCCCCATAACATTTTGGAAGGTTTGATGTTTCGGGTGAATGGAAGAATTACTATAATGGGCAGATAGCTTTCAGGAATAATTTACTGCAGCTTAGCAAAGAAAAGAGCCTGTTTCACTACTCCTTTATCCAGTATCGGTAGCACTGTAAACTTAAGCATGCTTTAAACATCAAGGCATCATTCCATTTCACCCCCTGGTTATTAACTTTACCTAGCAACTGTTTAATCAGACTTCATCTGACATGTAGATTTAAATTCAGAACTTGGATGCAAAAGGCATCTCTGTGATTATCGCTCATGCATACATCGTAAAGTTAGAGAAAAGCATTAATTAGCCCATCAAAGACCCGATGTCGGTCAAGTACCTGAATCTGGCTGAACAAACACTTGATCCATTTCCCGGTGGAACAGTTACAGGTAGTTACAAGCCTCTTTAGTTTCCATTCTTCCCGACCAGGCTGGGTTGAGGCAGGAGACAGTGGCAGCTGCAAGCGGCTAATGGCACACCCTAGATCTCAAGCCGTGGTTTCGGGCTTAGAAACTTCCCATTAAAACCCCCGAGTTAAAGGAACATCATCTTTCTGTGTGAGGCATCGTTAGCAGCCGATACGGCTGCTGCTTTGTGGCGAGCCATGATTCTGGTTCTGCCTCAGCAACTCTTCAGAGGATTCTGCTTCAGTGAGTAGAGGCAGTATCCTAGCAGTGTGTCTGAAATCATCTTCAAGAAATCATTAACATTCGAAAGGAGTACAGGGTGGGGGAACATCACTGGGCATTCCCATATCTTTTCAAAATCAAAGCCATAAATCTACCAATGCTCGCTTCTTCCCTATTGATTGTTGACACTATTCCTCTTTGGGGATGTCAATTAGCACCTTGCAGTACCCGGCCTCCATATTGATTATGTTTGTGACCTTCGGGCCAACTTAATTAAGGGGTAGATTTCTAAGGAAGGGCACCAATATAGTATTTGGGAAACCAAGGGAAGGCCCTTTTTCCTAAAAAAAAAAAAAAAAAAAATTGACCTTTCAGAAAAGCAGTAATTATGGAAGGCAAAGAGGAAAGAACAATTTTTTAAAAATCACATTTTTACCACCTGTTTGTACATTTGCTAGGCTGTAGGTAGCCAGGTCCAGTGTATCCTTTGGCCAGCCTGCATGACTGTGACCTTGACAGGTACCCCCACCCCACCCAGGCTGTCAGAGACCACTGATGAATAAAGAGAGAACTTCAGTGAGAGAAAGTTGTTCTAATTCTACAAATTCTAGTTACATGGCACAATAGTTGAATTATTTTCCTTGGATAGAATGCCTAAATAAATTTGGAAAATGTTTTAGGATAAAATTTATCTTTAAAAAAAAAAAAGTGCTTCTCTGGAAAGAATTCAACACAATCCTTAAGATGGAACATCCTTGTTTTTTGGCAACTCACCACTTTCTTTGTTGAAGTGGAAGCACAGTTAGCAACAACACCCACCCACCAAATGATGAGGTGCACGATATTTAAAGCTCACTCTGACTCTGCCTGTCAGCTTTGCTGTCTCTTCGGCTCTTTCGAGAGGCCGGCCATTACCCAGTAGCTGTAGGGGACCGGGAGAGAGCTCATTGTCTATGAGGAAAATTTCCATCTGCTAGCAACAGACAACAACTCTGGCTAGACCTCAGACCCAAGAAAATGTAAATGCTAAATGTTGTGATCTAATGTCAGAATCAAATGCTTGACATTAGGAGCTAACCTCACTCAAATAGGAAGGTTCTCTCCCCATAGGTTTTCCAGATTTTTAACCGTATTTCCTTTCCAGTGAGCTTCTCTGACTGTATTTTCACACACACACACAAACACACACGCATGCACGCAGAGCAGTGGAAAAAATGAAATCCAACAGAGCACTATCGTTCAATACTAACTGGTATCCTTGGTGCTCTTCAGCCCACAGCACTGGTGGAGGCAGCGACCTGTCTCGGTAGTGCCAACAGAGGGTGGCTCAGGGAACATTCTGACCCCACCCGTTCTTATATACTTCTCATTCCATGGGGTGAGAAAGCCCTCTAGTTAGACAGGAGCTGGAGTTACTGTGAGCTCATCCTGTCCATGAGGCCTCCTCAGATATTGTTTTACCCTATAGACTCGTAGAGGTGGAAAGGAACATGAGAGGCTGTGCCTGCCCTTCAGCTCCTCCGCAGGCTGAAGCCGTGCCACAGAGACGAGTGTCTGGCCTATTTTTAAAACTCTCCAGAGAATTAGATTCCATACCCCACTCTGACAACGTCTGTTTAAACTAACTTCTCCGTTGCTTACTTAGTCTCGATGGGATGGCATATTTCTTTTCATTCTACCCTGGTTGCAAAGTCAGTCAGGAATCACCACACGGTTTTGTGAGAATGCTCTTTCCCCGTGGAAGCTGAACTAGGGAAACCAAAGGATGCTTGGTGAAGATCCCGCAGCCAAGTTTGGGTATTGCTTTTATGAGGTAGTTGTAAGTGAAATGATGGGAGCGAGCCCATCCCCCCACGCACACGTTATATGACTCATGGTGACTTCTGAAACAGCGAATAAGGATTTACGAAATGTTGAGTTCCTTGAACATCTTACAGTAGGTCCTGGTTCTTTAGTCTTTAATACTCTCATTCTCTTCCTCTGAATTCTTCTCCAAATTTCTGCTTTCTGGTCCAGCTTTAAATCAAGAACCTAGAATACTCCACAAGGTTGTGCAAAGCTCAGACTCCCATGGATTTGTGGGGAATAGGATGACTTCATGCTATGCCCCTCTTGCACACTCTGATCCCAGGGTTACTCCTGGGTGTTAATTCAGTCTTTGTAGCCACACATCATAAGACAATAGTACTAGAAATCTATTTTAAGAACTTTCTCTATATTCTAATTTCAAGTCTCACTCTTGAATATTCTCTAGATTACAATTCTTCCCATAACTTCCCATGCTGCATTTTTCATAAAGTAACAGACAATGAGTATTTTTTTTAAAAGTTGCTTCATGAACCATCAAGCTTTATACCAACATGAAGCTGTTATTAGCATTAGCATTATTGTAGTTCTTTGTCTAATTCTCAAAATCTAATTGATTCTTGATAAAATCTTCAAACTTAGAAACCTGGGTTTCTTCTCATGTTCATCACTAGATTCTTGATAAAAATCTAGTTGCTTCCTTTCTGTCCATTTTTCTTTCACGTAGTCAAGAAACATTCACTAATTTCATTCACTCAGCATCAGATATATATGTTCCGTGTTGGGTGGGGTAGGATGACAGATACGGGGACATCGGTGTCTGCTTGCGTTTGTTCAGGTTGTCACTGCATAATTCTGGGAGGCTCCCTGGGAAGGACCCAGAGGTGCTCCACGTCTAGCTGCAGTTGGCCAAGCTTCTGGGCAGATGAGTCCCCCTCCACTGTTTTCCACTCCCTCACCTCCTCCCTGCTCAGCCAGCAGACATCTGAATTATGTCCTCATTTCTCTACAGGACTTGATCTCACAAGGTCATCTGTGGCTTCTCATTGTCTCAGGCAAAAAAAAAATCCCCAAAAAACAAAAAATAAAAACTTGCAGTATTGATCTTCTTTGCTCTTTGTGGCGACTCTGAGACATAGCTGACCACTGTCTTTAGGGAAGTGCTAGATAAAAGGACACAAAGTAAGGTGGAGTGGCAGAACTGATATCTCAGCCCTCTTCCCTCTTGGTCTACCCCTCTCCCTGGAGCCCCCTTGGTTCCTCTCCCTCCATAGTCCCTCATTCACCCCTTAGAGGCTCAAGCCATGTTTAACTCATGTAACCATCAGCCACTGTGAAATTAAGGGTGGAAAGACAGGCAGACTTGGATACATATTAACGGGTCCCCCATTTTTAATTCATAAAAAGCAGTGAAAGTCAGTTTATGGGTTATTTCTATGTTTCTGTCTTCTTCGTTTAAAAAAAATTGATACATAATGTAATATAAAGTTGGTTTTTTTTTTTTTTTTTAAATCAAGATGAGCTCTAGTTGTAATATCCCTCTGATTTGCCAGGTCTACGTATAAGTTTATTTATCCACTCAGCTATCTTCACAGGTCAATGAACATTCAAAGCATGAGGGAATAGTAGGGAAGGTTTAATAATATTCACATGAAGCCCATAAATTAGGATCTATATTCAAGCATTATTAAAAGCAAGCAGGTTAAAGTCCAACTGCAAATTGGCAGCCTCCTGGTTTGATTGCTCAATTAGTAGCTGATGAATCTGGAACAGAGTAGTATTTGAAATAAAATGAGAAACAAACAATGCTGCAACCCATTGGAAATGCATTTGGAAGGAAGGAAACACTGATAGAATGTAATATTTGCGAGCAACAAGGCTTGCCCCGTAAAATGAACAACTTTGTTCATTTTTTCCTTTTAAGTCAAAAACAATAGGGCATCAGGGAAGGAAATGCATCGTGAAAAAGCTGAAGTCCAACCCTGTTCTATTTAGAGACAATATTTGCAAACTTTCAGATATTAATTCTCATTACAGCCTGAAAGTATTAGAACATTACTATGGATTCTTCACTGTTCTAAAGAAATTCATACCGAGAACTAAACAGCCTAGTGGGTGAATTTATTCTTTTTATATGTCTTGTACAATAATAACAATTTTCTTAATGACTTTTAAATACTTAATGCCTTTGAAATGTCATATAAAGTACCGATTAGAGCTTTAGACACACCATCCCTCTCCATTTTTATGCTCTCATTTCGGCACTGTTCTTTCTGTTCAACAGCTGCTCTTTAGAAGGGACCTTTACTGCATGGACACTTTGAGGTTTGAGCAGATTAAAACATTAAGATGATTTAGAAAATGAAATAGAATCGGCCTGAGAATTACTGACCTGTTAGCCTGACTTTCAGACCTGACAAAATTCTGGAACTAAAAATCTCACCACTAAAAATCAATTTGAAAACACCCAGAGGAGAAAACTAATCGTACAAAGCAGTTTAAAAAATGCTGGTTAAAAAAAAAAAAAAAAAAACTTAGGAAAAACCAATCTCAACTTCTGATATTTCACTTGTGGAAATGATGGAAAGGAGGCTGAAGAATGAAAAAAAATGGTCATAAACAGAACTTATGATCTATGGTCACTGGGCACAAATTCCAGCTGCCTTAATGCTAGGTCTTATGAATGATGTAATCAACTGCTGCTTGAAAAATCATTTCACTTTACATATATGCCAATATTCCAGTGGGATCAATCAAAAAGTTCCAGTCAGGTAGCATATTATTTTAAGAGGCAGACACCAGAGGCACCTGATTGGCTCAGTGGGTTAAATGTTAGATGCTTGATTTTGGCTCAGGTCATGATCTTGGGGTAATGAAATCAAGCCCCACATCTGGCTCCGTGCTGAGAGGGGAGTCTGCCTGAGATTCTCTCTCCCTCTTTCTCTGCCCCTCCCCCTGTTCACGCTCTCTAAATTAATTAATTAATTATATCTTTAGAAAAGAAAGGCAGACATTAAGAATACATCTTTCTCTTCCAAGCCTGCATTTCAAACTTTGATAGCAGCCTACCATCTATAATTTTGCCTGCAAATAGTATCTATTATATATCTATATATAGCATGTGAATAGTCTCCATCATCTGTATTTCTATTACATATGATATTGAATTACCTCATGAGCTTGTTAACCATGCAGATTTGCGGGGCCCAGGCTCACAATTTTTAATTCAGTATGGCCAAGAATCTGTATTTTGAGTAAGAAACTTGTATGATGAATGATTGATGTAGGGCATATGAAGCCTACATTTGGAAAATGATAAAGTTAAGTATCTTTTTCCCCTTCTTGATGGGCCATATTAGGCATTTTATTTTATTTTATTTTATTTTATTTATAATTGAAATATAGTTGACAGACAATGGTAGCATTAGTTTCAGGACCATAACATGGTGATTACACAACTATCCTTACCCCAAGATTAGGCACTTTAAGTCCTTGAGGGAAGAGCCTTAAGCTTAAACTTGGAAG